TTTCATGTCGCATTATTTTGACGTGTCAACATATCTGAAGTTTCGGTGTTTTTTTCGGCGGTTGACCGTAGGTTTGGTCTCGAATAACGCGGTCAAAGCTCTTTGTAAGCGAATTAAGATCCAGGTTTGACGTCCAAAGCCTTCTTTACAACCCATGTTGTTATACGCGCATGGCTGTGAACATTACAATATTACATGTCACACGCACACTCCCAAACAAGTTGTAACACGCACATGGTTCTAGTGTATGACAAATACGGCCTCTTCTTATAATGTACTGGAGTCTGGCCACAAAATGGTAGTCGTTGGTCTGTTCGTTTAATATGTGGTTTTATTGAGCAAATGATGTTGAATCGAATCCTGTTACTGCGACCTCTTGATGGAATCGAGGCTTGAGCCGAATTTCATCCAACGCTCCACGTTACATTTCCACGATGGCTTCCAACATCATGCAGGCCAATTGTTCTCTGGAGGCATCTTGGTGGTTTTCAACAGTTTCAACATTTTTATGTGCGGCAACAACTTGACTTTATTTCAAAAATCATTCTTGCGTCATCTGACATGTTGAATTGAATAAATACAATTGCTTACTGTCTCCGAAACGAACCTGTCAACGAATGGGAAGCTAGCGCAATTCTTTTCGTAACGAGGCGCATCCCGGAATAAAATGCTTCAACCAGCCTTACGTCACTATAGCCGTTCTCTTGCGCGGGCTATTCAATAGGCGATGCACGACCTGCTTTGTAGTTTGTCACATTTTGGAACATCAGGCGTTAGAAAGTTATGAGACGTCAGATCACATTTTTGGAACATCAATTTTTAGAAAGTTATGAGTCGCCAGATTTTAGGATGTCATGGGTCGTTTGGCTCTAGGATTTCTGCAAGAATCTGAAGAGATCCTTCTCTCGCCAAATTTGGCAAGCTACAGCACTGTACACGATTTCGCAACGCAATCTTCAGCGTCGCGGCTGTCTATAGGAAGACATCCTGGGTGCGGAACAGCCGAACTCCGTCTTGCGCCTTGTCGAAATAACGTTTCTCTTTCTGTAGTTGGCGCCTGTGCATTGGCGATATTTTTTCGCCATGTATTAGCGATAATATTTTTTTCCGGTATGTACTGGCAATAATATTTTTCGGCCGTGTTGTAGTGATAAGCGAGCTGAGCCGCGTTTGCTGCATCACTAATGAATCTCGAGTAAATTTTTGCCGTATATAGTACGCTGGAAAACTTCGAAAATGTCACAAATGTTTTCCTTCACATTGCCAAAGTCTCTATGCATTTTCAACAACGGAAGATTTCGCTTTGTCGGGAGCCCCCGCTCATTTAAAGTAAATCTGACAGAAAGCAAACAGCCTTTTTCATAAATAGCGTCAGAGCTATGAACTCCTCGGGTAATAAGTCCGAAACGTACCCCTGCCGATGTGGTCCTATATTAAGGGTGATATACTGTAGTGCTGGTACTGGTAGGAGTTCTATGTACACCTCCCGAAGTGTTCCTATTAAGGGTTGAATGTTCCTATTAAGGGTGAACATGCCCCTTCCTATTAAGGGTGAATATTAAGGGGCATGTTCCACTGTAATCCTGTAGTGCTGGTAAGAGTTCTATGTACACCTCCCGATGTGTTCCTATTAAGGGTGATATACTGTAATGCTAGTAGTATTTCTATGTACACCTCCCGATGTGTTCCTATTAAGGGTGATATACTGTAATGCTAGTAGTATTTCTATGTACACCTCCCGATGTGTTCCTATTAAGGGTGATATACTGTAATGCTAGTAGTATTTCTATGTACACCTCCCGATGTGTTCCTATTAAGGGTGATATACTGTAATGCTAGTAGTATTTCTATGTACACCTCCCGATGTGTTCCTATTAAGGGTGATATACTGTAATGCTAGTAGTATTTCTATGTACACCTCCCGATGTGTTCCTATTAAGGGTGATATACTGTAATGCTAGTAGTATTTCTATGTANCTGGAGCTGCTGCTGCTGGCTCTGTTATTGCTGGATGTGCTGCTGCTGCTGGCTCTGTTATTGCTGGATGTGCTGCTGCTGGCTCTGTTATTGCTGGATGTGCTGCTGCTGGCTCTGTTATTGCTGGATGTGCTGCTGCTGGCTGTGTTATTTCTGGATGTGCTGCTGCTGGCTCTGTTATTGCTGGATGTGCTGCTGCTGCTGCTGGCTCTGTTATTGCTGGATGTTCTGCTGGGTCTAGTGCGCCATCCACCGGCGCGTGATGGCCACTATATTTGTGATCGCCTGGTCGGAGGCGGTAATTTCCTGCTCCTATGACCGTGACTTCGAAGACTAGAAGGACCTGGGCTGAGTGGGGTCTGTAACGGGGACTGCAGTGGTCTGTACTGAGAGGGGGACTGTAACGGGGACTCTGTGGTCCGTGCTGAGAGGGGGACTGTAACGGGGACTGCTTTGGTCCGTGCTGATAGGAGGACTGAAACGGGGACTGGATAAGCCTGAGCTGATAAGGTGACTGTAATGGGGATGGGAGTGGCTTGAAATCACCGGAGACCGTCACATGCGTTTGGGATTGCAACACCCGAGAGAGTTTAGCGGCTACGTAATGCGCGTCACATTATGTTGCAGTTGAAGCATGTCTCCATTACTAAGAGCAATGATAGTTGCACATCATAAGAGAGATCTCGGCGCACTGTGTAGCAAGTTCCAGACGTCTCCGCAGGAGAAACTCCTGTGCATTCAGACATTGGTTAGCCATCTATCTGTTGGAAGACTCTCTCCTCAAAATATGTTCTTGAGGTGTAATATTCTCTTCCATATCGTTCGATGTTCGCACAACTTGTCATCTTATCAGTACGCTCTTCTCCGAGTTAATTTGATTTTGAGACCAAGAAGCAGCCAGTATACGTCCACCAATGCCTACGTACGCTCCTCACCGCCTAAGCTAATTTAGAGAACAGGGAGGAACAAGCACGTTCATCTGAACAGTAAACACGTTCAATGAAGTTAGATAATTTATTGAAGTGGTGTAATCGGCATCACGTTTTCAGCTGTCCATTGTCGTACCTCACGTCTCGTGCCACCCTCACGTCTCGTGCCACCCTCACGTCTCGTGGCCACCGCATGTTTGGCTCACACCAATTGTCTAGCACGTGCCAATTATTACCATTGTTTTCTTCGTCTCTTATAGCGCGCGCTAAGGTAATTGCAGAAAAGAACTATCGTATACTCAGAGAAATTTGTGAGACATCGTCCTAAATACCAGACACTTTTCCCCCTTACGTGGGTTCTCCTTACCCAGTTTGGTACGGCAAATGGTAGTATCAAGGCTGCGTTCGGTCTGCTCGTGCAGTGGTTGAGAAAGTATGTCACTATTTAGACAATAACATTATCCATTTATTATTGTTGGTGTTTGACATGAGTTGGTACACAACGTTGCGTGGGAACTGCCGTCTTGACACGCGAAATATTTTCCTCTGCACGACTGAAGATTTATGTTAAGATCTCAACATTTCTGAACTGCAGCCAAAATTGTTTGGCTACTGACAATGATTTCGATGGCCGGGATTGAGGTTATGACCTTACAAACTTCAACTAACTTGGGTCATCTTGCTTAAGATTGCAGGTGAAATTGATTTTATTTATATTATTTAAGTTTATTAGGTAGTCTAGCAACTTATGTTATTTATTTAGATACTTTAAGTTTATGTAGGTAGGTAGTCCTGGAACTTGTGTTATTTATTTAGATTCTTTAAGTTTATGTAGGTAGTCCTGTAACTTATACTACCAGAAGAGAGATAATCCATGCACACTCAGAAAAATGTATGGCTCATATAGTCCAAATAGTGACACTTCTCACGGCACGAGCTGAGAGCGGACGTAGCACTGATACGCCTTTTAGCCGTGCTAAACCTTCTTTAGGATGACCAGCAGAGGTGCAAACAGTATATCAGTATATGGACAAATTCTCACTCATTGCTCCGAGTGCAGTAGCAAGGCTTAATTTTTAAGGTCGTAATCGTCACATGTGACAGTCGATGAAATTATTTTTGCTACTGTATGTTGAAATATGCGCTATACATGCGCATGACATGTAAGCAGTATGCGCATGACATGAAAGCAGTATGCGCATGACATGTAAGCAGTATGCGCATGACATGTAAGCAGTATGCGCATGACATGTAAGCAGTATGCGCATGACATGTAAGCAGTAAGCGCATGACATGTAAGCAGTAAGCGCATGACATGTAAGCAGTATGCACATGACATGTAAGCAGTATGCGCATGGCATGTAAGCAGTATGCGCATGGCAGTGTCATGGCTGTATTCTAAGACAGAACTCGTTTGTATTGCACAAGTGTGGCAGTGTGCACTGGCACTCTCTCTTCCCACGCATTGCTCTCTTCCAGAATTGAATGCTGCGTGGAATGCATGTATGCGTGGAATGCATGTATGCATGGAACGAATGTCTCCTTGTGTGTCATGCCTGCGTGATGAGCTCTCGTCGAGCGTGATTGCGCTCTCTGAAAGCATGATAGAAGAAATGCGTTCGAGAAAAGTATACTAATAATTAATCTAATTTATCTAGAATTCCATAACAGGATTAGTGACTTTTCAGTGTGTAATAATTGATTTACTTCTAAGCATAGAACGTTGAAGGCTTTATAAGTGGTGATCAAAACTGGGGTCTCTTGTTTCTTGCTGCGTGTGACTGGATTAATAATGCCTGGCAAGAACACCAATGTGTTTTTTGTGTGTTCAGCGTGTGTTCAGCGTGTGTTATGCGTGTAAAGATACACTTGAAATTTTTGTGTTTGGTGCAATGCCGTCTACGCGGCAGCGAGGATGTCTTTTCGTAAGTGTAGAAGTTAACGGCACTTTATGAAGTGCGAAAAAATTCTGATAATGCTAACCTGAATATTATGTTATGTTAGATAGCGATAGTAAGTTATTGAAGATGCCATCTAGATACAATCTGCTATAATAATGCACTTTTCTCACTCTGTTATTGTTTTTCTTTGCAGGATCCAGCGAGCAATAAGGAGCTATACGTGCGATCCAGCGACTTCGTTCTAAGACCGACCAAACATCGAAGCTTGGTGCATAGCTGCGCCCATCCTACATACCAGCCTGATGCTGGCGTGCGTCGGGACAGTTAATCTTAGGTAGCAAGTATAGGCAGCAGCTGTGAACCGCGACTTGTTCTTGTGTGGCAGGAATTTGAGTGACCAGAGCTGAACTTTGGTCATAATGCCGTGCGGTTGTTTCGGTGGAGCGAGCAAGAAGAAGGGTAAGAAAGGACTCGATGGCCCTCCTAAGCCTCCCAAGTTGGGACTAGAAGAGCCTGTAAAGGAGCAGCAGGTCACGAAGCAAGAACAGACGCCAGTTTACTCATCTCAGCAGGATTCCAGACCTACGACCATCAACGAGAAGCTCACGGGCAACGGGACCGTTGAAAAAACCCCGGTGCCACCTGCAGTGACCACCCCCCAGTCGGACTCGGTGCTCGTTGTTGACGGCGGCAGCACGCGGTCAACGGGAGCGCGATGCCGGGCCGAACTTTACGCCAAAAGGCGAGAATTTTTCCGGCCGTTGTACGAGGTGAGTTTGAACAGCACCAGCAACCGGTATGCCACACCTAGAACTTCCAACACGTTACCAGCTCGCGGGAAACGAGGCGGCTACATCATGGGTGACGGTACGGGGGGATATTTCACCGCTGAAGGCAAATACATTGGCCCTGAAGACGCCGGAGAGAACAGGGATCCTGTGAGTTTAGATGGGGTGAGCGGGATCACGCTGGAGGGGCAGTATGTGGACGCCGAGGGTCGAGTTGTTGACCGCCCTGCCCGTCCGATGTCACAGCCCAGCGCAGAGCAGTGGAGAGAAATCGCTGATCAGTCAGATGGCCTCCCACAGGAAGAGTTCATCCTGAAGCGGCAGGAGATAATCCAGCACCAGCAGCCCTCTGTGCCGATACCACCGCCTGCCCCCAAACCTGTCAATCCCCACTTCATCGAATTCCAGGAGAAGCACCACAAGATCCTTTTCGATCCTGAGCATCAGCCCCAGCATAGAAACACCGACCCTGAACTGGCACAGAAATTAGTGGAAGAAAGACTCACAGAATTAGATAAACTCCACAACGAAGTAAAGGATCACTACGAGAAGAAGATGAAGAACGGGCCGGTAGATGTAGATTCTTTGGTAGAGAAATACACGGAAGAACGATGGAAGAAAATGGTTGAATTATGGGAGAGTGAAGGCCTGGTTGTCGAGGGGGGAATTGTTGTGGTTGATGACAAAGGTAACGTCGTCGAGAGAGAAATTAAATCGAATGGGGAAGGAGGCCACGTCGTTGAGAAAGTAACCCGCAGTGTCGAGAAGATCGGTCCTGACGGCGAGAGGGTAGTGGAGACCGTCGAGAGCGACGGCCACAGAACTGTACGAGTCGTCGAGAGCTCGAGAGCCGTGACGCTGAGCGAGAGGCCGGGCACCGTCACGACCACCGAGGAGATCCTCGTCGAGAGACTGACTACCGGCTATGACGATGATGCACTGGGCCCTGTGACGACCATCGTCACGCCTCCCACCCCTCAGATAGACATCTCTTCCCGCACGTCACCTTTCGCAGAGATCGCCGCCGAACTCAACGACCCTGACGAAGAAATCTCCGTGGAGACCGGGGCACCGGCTGACGTGGAGGATGGTGACCACGTCGAACTCAACCACGAGGACAGTCCCCTCGCCCCCCAGACATGCACTCCGCCCCCGTCCCCCGAACAGGACCACCGGTCCACCCCTTCGGTAGAAGAGCCCAGTGGGTTGACTGCTGTGTGCGGTGCTGTGTCGACCGACGAGGAGCTCGTCATCGCTAAAGGCTCGGCCACGCCTCCCCCTTCACCTCCTCTGCAGAGTGTCGGGCCGCAGTCCTAAATCTTGCGTGTGTTGCGTGCGTGTTGCAGAAATGCGTGTAGCACATGTTGCAGGAGTGTTGCATACATGAGTATTGCGTGCGTGTTGCAGACATTAGTGTAGCACGCATTTTGTGCAGCGTGTTGCAGACATGAATGTATAGCACGTTTAGCGTGCTTGCTGCAGGAGTGTTGCATACATGAGTGTAACACATGTTGCAGCCATGAGTGTAACATATGTTGCAGACACGAGTGTAGCACGTGTAGCAGACACGCTGCTGCGTGTTGCACGATACCCCGAGGGTGTGACAGCTTAAGACCAGCTTCAGTCTCCTCGGCCACCGCAACTTCAGTAATATAATATTTCTCGTCACGCCGTCGACTGGTTGTTGATGTCCTGTTATTTTAAGGAAAGCAGTGCATTTTTAGGACGTTAAAATATTTTTGTATTTTACTGCTTTTAACGATGAAAATTGTGCATTTTAGACGAGAGTTTATTTGTTTGTTAATTGTAGCATGCCATATTAATTCCCAGAATTTCTTTATAATTATATAAGTTTTATTCTTGAACGCATGCATGTGAAAGGACGCCAGATAAAGAGTTTTTATTCCCATTGACCGGGGGCTTTTCTCAACAAAATTTTGTTCGCCGCAATTTCGCAATTAATAGTTTATTTCCTTATCAAAATTCTGATTATAAGATTTAGTTGAGACCACAACTGTGAACAATTCACGAATTTATGATGCCGTAATAATTTCTCGAGTTACAGCCCCGGGTGATTTTTTTATTTTAGACAGAATCTCTTCTTGAAGTGATTAGTATTTTGTGCAGCATTTCTAAGTTAAAAATCGAAAAGTTTCCCTCGAAGCTATCGTTTTATTCTGCATTTTTAGTATCACATGGAGAAACCATCTAAAAAATTGCTTGACACGAGGGAACTCAGTAAAGTTCCTGATGATTGATTAAATATGCAAAGGATTGTTGTCAACACAGGCAAAGCATTGACCCAACAGGAATCTGACGTCGAAATAACATTGATTAAACTATGTTTCAACGAACTGAACTCGTTATCAACGTTGTTTCAATTTCACTTGACTGGAGGTGAGCTGCACTAGACATCAGAAGGCTTTCTTCGGCTTGGAAATATTGTTCTCTGTACGTTGTATAGATAGAGCGGTGTCTGCAAATTTCTTAGAAATATATTTGCTGTCTGTAAACGATCCTGGATAATGCCTTTCATTATTGTCTTATCCCTGGATGGTTTTGCAATGAAATTTGAACGGAAGATTCCTAATTATTTTCAATGGCTAGAAATTCGTCCGAAGGCTGTTATGTTTTGCACATGATGTGAGTGATGTGTGAGACATGATGTTAGTATCTCTGACGTGATAGACATGATGTGTGTCCACGTAGGCGTAGACATTGTGCGTATGAACATCTTTATCACGATCCTTACCTAGTCCACAATGATGGAACAGAGTTAAGGAGTTCGGTGTTGTTCTAATATGTTAGATGTTTCACACGAAGAGTTAAGCCTCGACAGTTGGTTCTCATTTTTTCCGAGATATTCTCCACGATTCGTATTAACAAAATTCACATATATGGGTGTTCATTGTAAATGCTCGCATGAAGCAGTAGTTGTGAACACACCAGTGTCAGAGTCAGAAGATCGTATGGCTCTATAAAGGACCGTACTATGAAAACTGTATCATAAGTACGCGTAGCGGCCGATTTCTCATCAGCGATTGGTTGGTTAAACTGGAAACTCCCTCAGTTATTGACTAACTTATAGTAACGAACTCGTACTTATTTCTGATTTTGTGGTCACCGTTTTGTATCTCAATTAGTTTACAGATGAAGTGCCTTCTTTGTTCGAAGCGATGTGTATAGTGGAGGTGAGCAGTTCGGTCAGATTACTCTGTAGCTGACTTAGCTAATGTAAATAGTGAAGAATGTTTCTAGATGTCTTCTGAACATGAGCATTACCCACTAGATCAAATTGCTCTCAATGCTCTCACTGTGAAATAGTTGTTATCTCAATTTCTTTATTGAAATTCTTATTGATAAGTGTGGTGCGATTCTAACTAGCATTTGTATTGACTGAGAAGGAAGGCTAATTAATTCTTACGTGTAATTAGTAGGCAGTGCGAGAATTATTAATTATTTTACGTCATTTGAATGGATTCAAACGTCATCGGGGAGCGTTGCTCAGAAGTGAGCGCGACGTAAAGAAAGAGACCATAGAGTTTGGCCTTATGAATGTTGCTATTTATAAATATATATATATAGAATAATACATTTATTATATACTTTCTGGATTACTGTACCATTTCTACTCGTTTTGTACACGTGTGTTTGTTGTACATAGCGCCACCATATGTCCGTGAGGCAGTAAAGTCTTTCTGAAATCTCCTGTTATTTTTAATACCTTCATCGCGATACGGTACATTTTAGGGCAAAAATCCTATTTTAACAAAAAGATTAATCTTGTTAATAATAACGCTTGAAAGTTAGAAATCATCCTTTGTCATTCATAGTAGAAGTTCAACCGAATTCCCTCCTTGCAAATAACGTAGAATCAATTTGATGAACTGTTGAGGTCGTCGACACAACGTGTATGCAACGCCATTTCAACGTCATGCAGATAGCATGTTGGAAAAGGTTGATTCCTTCACCCAACATTTTCAATGGATGTCGTGCGTTCTTATACAACAAAGTTGAAGGTATCGTGACTAATGCATAGTACTAGCACGGATAGTATTTGAGATGTAAACTAGCTGAGAATGTGTATTGTGTAATGTTCCGCGTTCGTTCATACACGATACTGCAGGATAGTCACGGTAGTGGACATCTATACCCATTATAGGCAAGTGACGTTGACCCAACGTTTAATAATCGTTGTTTCGACGGATTCAACGAATACAACTTTGTTTCAACACTTACCTGGTTGATATAGGGCGAAATAAAACCTGGTTGTGAAGGGGGGCAACGGCCACATGATGGGGGTAAACGCCCCCGAGCCGCGCTAGGCTTACGCAAATAGCCTGGCGTCAGGCCAGTCCCCTGCCACCACCAGCCAGTCCCCTGCCAAAACCAGCCAGTCCCCTGCCACCACCAGCCAGTCCCCTGCCACCACCAGCCAGTCCCCTGCCACCACCAGCCAGCCCCCTGCCACCACCAGCCAGCCCCCTGCCACCACCAGCCAGCCCCCTGCCACCACTAGCCAGTCCCTTGCCACCAGCAGACCACCGAGACCACCCTTACGATCACTACACTCAGGGCCAGGGGTAGAAATACTCAACCCACATCCCCCGCTTTGGGGCCCATCTCACCCCCCCCCGCGCTATGGGACCCATCTCACCCCCACCTCCCCGCTATGGGACCCCCCCCCCTCCGCTGAGGTCAGAGGTCAGACGCGAGTCAAGTGGCCCGCCGCTGAGGCCGCTAGCCCAGCAGGTAAAAACTGAAGGCGATCCGGAAATATTGGTAGACTTGCATTCAAATTCTTTATGATTTTGTATCATTCCCCGTACATAGTCCTTTTTTTCCCGTGAACAGTAAATTTACTTGATTTGGTACAATAAAAATATTGTTTAAGCCATTGTTGGTTTTTCACTGTAATGCTTAATAAGATGGAACGGTTACGAGAATTCTACGTGTTCATATGGTAATAAAGCACAATTAATTTCGTAATAGCCGAGTTCTGGTTGTATAGGACAGTTACGAAAATTCTTTGTGTACAGATGATAATTAAACACAATTAGTTTCGTAAAAATCGAGTTCAGGTTGTATTTAACCCACAAACTCTTCACATGAGAGAAAATCAAGCCACGCGTCCAGAGTGCGGACGCCGCTGAGCACAATTACAGTCCGCGAAATTTACGATCGGCGGGGGAGATTTGCGGTGAAAAACTCGCTTCGGCAAGCAAGCAGACCCCACCCCCCCTCCACCCCCTCCTCCTTCACCTCCCCTTCCCTCCTCCCCACTTTCCCTTTTTTTCCCCCACCACCATCACCCCTTCATCCCTTTCCCTCTACCCCACTGCTTCCACCCACGGTTTGGGGTTTTACCAAAAATTAAAGGTTGAATTGTATTGTGTATATCATCAAAACCGAGTGACGAATGGTTGGAGTAATAATGCTAAAACATATATTATGTATTCATAATAATATGTAATTTTACAAAATAATGTTCATCGGTAACCCCTTTAGTAAACTCATAAAATGTCAACGCCGTTCGTGATAACAAATACATTGATTATGATATGAATGACAAAAATTTAAAACACATTGTTGAGCACGATATCGGGGAAAAACTTGTGAATGTGCTCATGTGAATATAAAATGAAGGGTCAAATTATGCGAGCGCAAACAGTTGAGTCTCCACACATTTATTCACTTGGTATTCGTAAGGAACATTCAGGGTAAATTTGTCGTCGAACCTACAGATGTCTTCAACGGAATTGCGTTAGATTCGGTCTGAATTGAAATTTCGTTTTACCCTAAAATAAAATTTAGCACCGTGTTCATTTCAAGCAAAAAATGAAATATAAGAAATAAAATGAGGTATACTCGGCACAACATGACGTTGCCGGTCCGACATGATGATTTTTTTTACAAACTCGCACCAAAGAAGCCGGCAGCGAACTCTTCTCTCAACCACCGAAAAGAAGAAAGCTCGAGAGGCGGTAAAAAGACCTGCGAGACAACGGACGTCTTGGAGGTCGTAAGACAACAAGAGACCTGCGAGACAACAGACGTCTTGGAGGTCGTAAGACAACAAGAGACCTGCGAGACAACGGACGTCTTGGAGGTCGTAAGACAACAAGAGACCTGCGAGACAAGTCTCAGAAGTCGTAAAAGTATATGGTAAGTGCAAGACACTGCTAACCTCTGCACCAGTCAGACCACGTCTAAAGACGTAGTTGCAAGTTTCATCTTCATTTAAAATAAGATGGACTTTTACATCGGGTTAAGAAATCTTAGCTTAGATGAAAATCAACGGTCAAGAAAAGCCACAGATTAGTCCTCTATATTTATTGGTACTTACGTATATTGCCCAGCCTTCAAGACAGTGTCAATGTTCGCGTTAAAATAATTTCACAAAATATTACTTATATTTATTATGTGTCCTTTGTGAACTTCGTAATTCAGGAATACGACTCTAGAAGATTGGGTTTGAAATAAATATAAATAAACATAGCGGAAAATTCCAAAGCTGGAGGGAATAACTTCTACATAGATTTTTTCGGCAGGTACAATTCGTTTCATTGAATTTGTGCATTTTTCTTCAAGTCACAGAAACCTTCACATGTCTAGACCGCTTATCGTCTTGTTTCATTTTGTATTTGAGAGTTGACAGCAAATAACCTTTAGTGTGTTACAGAACAGGATTATTATTACTATACGGTTGGGGAAGAGAAGAGAAGGTTGGGGCTCGAGAAATGAGGCCGGCTTGGGGAAGCACATGAGCTCTGATCCTATAAATACTACCGCACCGCTGACCACACCCAGGGGAGATGACAACACTCGCCTCCCCAACCATCCCCATGTTTTCTGTGCGTAGGTGGGTACGTGGACACGTTTTCTGGCTATAAAAACTCCATAAAAATAAATTCGACATTACAGTTTATGCTCGAAAAAGTCGAGCATAGAGCTTGATGGAAGTGAAACTCACTACGAAGGAATCGACGCTCGGGGCGAAATCGAACTTTGTCTCAATAAGTTCAGTGGACACTGAGGTTATATTTGATACGTCCTTAGTTTCCTTTTCTTATTCACTAGTTAGAGTAAATCCAAAGTTCAATTACAAATTTATTTAGTTAATTCCACTTGACTGTTAGCCCCAAGATACGTTTTAGAGTCGGCAGAAGTTTGGTTGAGAAGGAAGACAAGCAACGTCGCAGGAGGCGAGCATAAAACGCTTGGTCATCGCTGGCGAGCGCTAGAGGCTTCGTGCGTGACTGTGCAGTGAAACTGTGAGCAGTGATAGTGAGCTGTGAGCTGTGATAGTGAGCTGTGATGGTGAGCTGTGATGTGAGCTGTGATGTGAGCTGTGATGTGACTGTGAGCTGTGATAGTGAGCTGTGATGGTGAGCGGTGATTGTGCCTGTGAGCTGTGATAGTGACTGTGAGCTGTGATAGTGACTGCTGTCTCTTATACACATCTAGATGTGTATAAGAGACAGGCCACAGACACTGCAGTGCCACAAACACTGCAGTGCCACAGACACTGCAGTGCCACAAACACTGCAGTGCCACAGACACTGCAGTGCCATATTAATAAAATTTAAATTAACAACATATTTCGAATGAATCTCCTGCCCTTTTCATTGCAGTGGAGGAAGCCAGGATCTCGTGACCTTGAAATGGCCTTATATTTCAGGAGAAGAATGTATTTCTCCAGATAAAATGTAAATATCTAAAAAAATTATTTCTTAAGATAAAATATGTATTCTTAAGAAAAAATATTTATTTCTTAAGAAAAAAGTTTTATTTCTTCAGAAAAATTATGTATTTCTTAAGAAAAATATGTATTTCTTTAGAAAAAATATGTATTTCTTCAGAAAAAAATATGTATTTCTTCAGAAAAAAATATGTATTTCTTCAGAAAAAAATATGTATTTCTTCAGAAAAAAATGTGTAAATCTTAAAAAAATTTATTTTAACAGAAAAAATATGTTTATTTTAAGAAAAGAATACAGCGACCAACGAGAAGGTTAGGGGGAGGGTGGGAGAGGGCCGGGGCTATGCTGTGATAGTGACTGTGAGCTGTGATAGTGACTGTGAGCTGTGATAGTGACTGTGGGCTGTGATAGTGACTGTGAGTTGTGATGGTGATTGTACTCCACATTAGTAGTGTTGATTACGTGCTGGTGATTCATCTGCCTGGTAATGTTGAGACGATGAGTTAAAGTGAACCAAAGACCAAAATAATCTGAACGTTTTCTTTAGTTTTTCTTGATCAACTATCAATGTATCATTCGATTCCTTTATTATAAGTCAAGAACTGTGTGAGGTCATGAATTCAGTACATTTTCATTCATTTTTGGTTCATTCCTTGTGACTTGAACACATGTATATTCTCCCTATATTTATGATTTATTTATAGGTTTATAGGTTGAATATTGCTTGTAGCGCAGGAGTACTGTTCAATCATAGGAGTCTTCACTCCATTACGACTAACATTGAAGTTTATTCGAACATTCCTGCCTTCTTTAACAGCGTGTTGTTGCTAAGGTTTCCTTCGTCAAATACTTCTAAAAATTCATGATATATATAAAATGTAGCAATCAGTACCAAAATACATTTTTTAGTATAGTACCTAGATTCGACAGGGTTTCCTGGAATACGCAGGTTTCACCGAAAAATGTATATAGTGAAAATCTTTCATGCGGGAAGATATTTTATATAGAATTTCACTCTACGATATTTCTCATCGATGCTTTCGTTTGATGGAACAGCTTTATTGGGTGAATTAGTGACTGTTGGGTGAATTAGTGACTGTTGGGTGAATTAGTGACTGTTGGGTGAATTAGTGACTGTTGGGTGAATTAGTGACGGTTCACCCAATAAATGATATTTATTGGGTGAATGATCGCCAGAACAACGAAGTTCCAAAATTAATTATTATTATTCACCTATTTTTGTACTTCCTATTAGTTGGCATTAATTATTAAGTGTAAATAATTAGTACAAGTCTGTTTAAATAACAGATATTTTGATGCGTGCTGTTATATAATGCAGACATTACTTATATAATGCAGACATTACTTATATAATGCAGACATTACTTATATAATGCAGACATTACTTATATAATGCAGACATTACTTATATAATGCAGACATTACTTATATAATGCAGACATTACTTATATAATGCAGACATTACTTATATAATGCAGACATTACTTATAGACATGCAAGTGACAGCTGGTACAGTCTTGACAGTCTGTCAGGAAGTTGCTTGTTTACCTCGCCTGCAGACAGCTGGCAGAACATAAACCATCTGCAGCTCTGCAGCATTATATTTATGACATTTTAAACTCAAAATACCCTATAATTAGAAGAAAGTTGCACCGTTGACAGTAAATAACAAAATCGCAGCAATGTTTCTTATTCGCTATTAAAGAATTTATTTAGAATGTGCCATAGAAGAAAGGCATGTGTAGTTCATTTTCTAACTTTTATGAAACTTTTTCAAATTCATTGCTGCACTTGTGTAGCCATATGCAGGTTCCTTGGGCGAGTGTCGAAGTCCCGAAGCTACGTGACATACTGGCAACGGCAGGACAAACGATTGCATTGGGTGAAACTTTCTTTTGAAATAGTTCGTGTAGAATATCTCGATAATGAATAATATCTCGTTTATGTAGAGTGTAGAATGCTTATCATATGCTTGCCAATGTGTTGGGAATTCACAAGACTTCTGCTCTGAACATGCTGCTCTTGTTCACCGAGAAGTGATGAACGCTGCTCTGAACATTCTGCTCTGAACATGCTGCTCTGAACATGCTGCTCTGAACATGCTGCTCTGAACATGATGCTCTGAACATGCTGCTCTGAACATGCTGCTCTGAACATGCTGCTCTGAACATGCTGCTCTTGTTCACCGAGAAGTGATGAACGAAGTAAGCCTCTAAGCCGCGGCACTTGAGGAGGTTCTTCCTGTCAGCGAGAAGTGGCTGAGCCGAGCGCCCTGGGTGCGAGGCACAATTCAGAACTCGGATGGCATTTAAAAAAAAGAACTTGGGCATGTATAGAACTGCAAGCTGCTCTACAGGTTCTACCAAGCGTACGTTTATTCACCAATAATTATAAATTTAAAAGCTAATATTATATTCGCTTATAATTAAAAATGCAAAATTAAAAAAAAAAGTTATATCTCATAGAAACGTCCAGCCTCATCGTTTACAGGATATTTTCGCAAAAATAATCGATAAATTAATTTATTAAAGTCTCAGCAATATGGCGGTCAACTGAATGAATGGAAAGTTGAGTCTGTGGGTGACACTGAATGACAGACTCTGAATGAATGTTGAATTGAGGTCAGAGCAGCCATATTGGGCAGAAACGATGCCCTGGCTCAGGGTAGGAGATTGTTTGTACAACGGCTAGTGAATGTCTGCACTAACTCTGCTCTGCAGACATGCGCGGTGATGTCATGTCTGCACAAACTCTGCTCTGCAGACATGCGCAGTGAATGTCTGCACTAACTCTGCCCTGCAGACATGCGCGGTGATGTCATGTCTGCACAAACTCTGCCCTGCAGACATGCGCGGCCGGTGAATGTCTGCACTGACTCTGCACTGCAGACATGCACGGTGGGTTATGTCTGGGCAGTGTACTGCAGACATGTAAAATAATCAATTTTAAAAATTCTAAAATTTAAATAACTACCGAACGGCAATTGGTTATCAACATTTGTCACTGCAAAATATCGTGTTTCTAAGTACAAATATGATCAGCAAAAACGCATTTTTATGCAGATTTTATGAAAATATTTAGAGATATTTTTTTTTGTATTCCTTGCTCACAAATTTTTTGTTATATAATTTTCGATTCTCGCTGCATAATTCAACTGCTGTCAGAGTTTATACATTTTCATGAAGTTCATGCAGTTGCATGAAGTTAATAATGCAATAAAAAACATAGGCGGAAAACTGGTCGATGATCTTCATGTAAGCCATGAACTTGGTATACATTACAGTGATAGTTATTAGCATTAGAGAGAGAGTTGTTAGAGCGTGTTGCGGCATATGGTCCTTTGATAATGAATACAGGGTGCATGTTAACTACACGTACATGATATATCAGACATACATGACATCTTCAGACATACATGACATCTTCAGACATACATGACATCTTCAGACATACATGACATCTCCAGACATACATGACATCTTCAGACATACATGACATCTTCAGACATACATGAGGGAGAAGGGGAGTGAGGGAGAAGGGGAGTGAGGGAGAAGGGGAGGAGGGGAGAAGGGGAGTGAGGGGAGTGAGGGAGAAGTGACCGTGAAGTGGAGGTTTCTAAGAGCCTCTTTGTGGGCAAGAGACCTGGGGAAGAATGGGGAGATGGGGGAGCGGGGGTCGAGACGTTGGGGTTGAATATTGTGGTGTGTTATTTTCTAGTGTGTGGTTTTGAATGACGTGTGATTGTATGATTGTTATGTGACGGTGGGATTAATTCCATACAACTATCAGCGTCACTATACACGATGTATGAAATATACAAGGTGTGCTGTATAAGACCACTGAAAATGACCTTGAACATGACCTTAATATATTTATTTTCTAATTTATTTGGTTGCCTATAAAGCATGAAATTCTGACGCACCAACAGAAAATTACATATATTACATACGTATATCACATCATAAATTATATATTTGACATACGTATATTATATTATAAATTCCAAATATTATATACGTACATTACAATATACTCTTATATTAATATTAGGTGCATATGAGGGTCGCAATAAATTAATACATTACACAAATTATACAATAATTTAATACACAATACATGATCATCCTTCAATCGCCCTTCCTCCCAAGGGGGGGGGGTCATCTCCCCTCCCCTCTTCCCTCCATCCCCCGCTCTTCCCCAAGCTCGGGCCCAACAATACAAAACCTAATTCTAATAACTCAATAATTAATGTGATAATCAATAATAATAACTTGATAATTAATGAGTTTAAAATTCGATTGATGTTGGAGGTTCAAAGCCAACAAAATTCAAAATCCTTATGAAGGATTTTTTGGCGGCAAGCGGGGCACCGCATCGCTGCCCCCCCTCCCCCTCCCAGACGTTTGTTTCTTGTTCTTTTTGCACGGCCCTTCCTTCCTTAGCGGCTGACATCAGCGTGCTGTGTGCCGTGTGTGAGCTGTGTGTGTGCTGTGTGGCGTGTGTGTGTGTGGCGTGTGCCGTGATTGCTTAAAATATTATACGTTTGAATGTATATTTTCAACACATCACACATCAAAACATGGCATGACTCCACGATTTATGTGAAATCAACATGAAAATACACTAAATTCTAAATTTTACATATAGTTCAACAAATCATACATTTATCTGCTCAAAGTATTGCAACACAATTTATCTATAAGTTTTTACAGATTTTCACTGACTTATTCCATATATCGATAATTTTAAGATATTATCTTCGAAGAAACGGAAATGTATTCAGTATTTACTGGCCAAATAAGACTCGATATCAGGCACAGTTGAAACGAAACTGGTTCACTGGAACTTGGTTCATCGGTTCACTGGACGAACTGCAGTCACTTGCCTGGCAGTGCAGTGCAGTGCAGTGCAGTGCAGTGCAGTGCAGTGCAGTGCATTCCCCTCCCTGCCTTTGATTTCCGCCCCCCCTCCCTCCTCTCCGTGAACATGAATTAAGCTCCCGTTGTGAGAACAACAAAATTTTTTAAAGAAGTTATATAAAGTAAAATAAACTTTGGTTGACACGATAAACCACGTTTATGGTTATAGAATGATTACGAATAACGTGATAATGAATTTAGGCTCCTTGGAAGCGGTTAAAAAAACGCTATCTTCAGTGAATAATAAATATTTTCCCTTAATAACTCCATTCCCTTTGTTTTATTTTTGTTTTCTATGTGAACACAATCAAGGTTGTTATGACATCGCGACAGGCGGAGTCTGCACTTTTTTTAATTGAGTTTGTTGACCGACAGGTTGCTCTTTTATTTATTTATTTTATAATTATTTTTTTTGCGCGCGGACGACGCGACGATGAGGTTTGGGACATCCGGTGTAGCGGACGAACGGTGGCCGCCGCTCCGCCCCGCATTACTGCATCACTGCATTGTGTGCAAAAATGGCGCAAAAAAATAATAAAATAAAAATGACATTGAAAACTGGGAAAATAATAATGCTTATCTCATATTTTATGATACAAAAATTAGGCTTATATAATAGAAAATAAAATTTATTATTTTCTTCTCACCTTTTAGAAAATTGAAGCAAAAGCAAATCTGCATCTAACATACGATGCGTTGGATGATGTTGATCAGAAGATAGGAATTCAATCTTGAGTAGAGAACCCCATGCTATTTATGTATATTTATTCTGCATTTGTTTTGCATTAATATTTTAAAGTTAAAAATACAAATGATAACGCTACATCAGAAAAAAGTCCCTCAAAAATACAGAGATTGATTTTCGTTGACGTGTGATCTCCCGAAATGAATTTTCAAAGATGAATCCCTGAAATATATTTGCTTATCGATGACTACTCTTCAATACTCTAATCTTCGTATGCGTGAAGCATAATATGTAAATACCGTGCACACAACACGAATTCACGCACGTACTACCACGAACCGGTACTACGATGATTATAGTCGAGACACGACAATTAGTCACAATTTCCATACACTCTGGTGCGTGAAGTGCAGCGTTAGTGCGTGTAATGGATATCTCTTGACACGCAACGTTGAATGAACGATTTGTATAGACTGCGTGTATTGTGCGCTCTTACATGATAAATCGTGAATTTGGTGCCGGGAGGAAACTGAACTTAAGATGAGACAAAACTTGGTACGTTTAGGAGAGCTTTCAGATGATGAAGTTGCAAGATAAGATTTGTTAGGCTGTCATATACATATTTCCTACGTGTGCAAGTAGGTACGATGTAGCAGCACGATCGCGAGTAGGAGAGTAAGATACAGCAGCCCTATCGCAGGTAGGAAGGTAAGATACAGCAGCACGATCGCAGGTAGGAAGGTAAGATACAGCAGCACGATCGTAGGTAGGAGGGTGCGGTGCAGCAGCACGATCGTAAGTAGGAAGGTACGATACAGCAGCACGATCGCAGGTAAGAGTGTGGAAGTTTGGAAAACGTGAGTATGAACCATTTGAGGATTGAGGTAGGTTTTGCGATCAGTCATTGTATCGCTCTCACGATTTACGATAAGGCAAGTCATGGTCGGTATCGCACTCACGATTTACGATAATGCGCGTCTCTGTGTTCAGAGATCTCGGGCGCCGTGCGTGTGGAGGAAGTCTCTGAATACCGTCGAGATCGACCGGCGCTGCACGCAGTGCTGCTGCTGCTGCACAGCTACCAGTGCTGCACAGCTGCCAGTGCTGCACAGCTGCCAGTGCTGCACAGCTTCTGCACAGCTACAAGTGCTGCACAGCTACCAGTGCTGCACAGCTACCAGTGCTGCACAGCTACCAGTGCTGCACAGCTGCCAGTGCTGCACAGCTACCAGTGCTGCACAGCTGCCAGTGCTGCACATTTATCGTAAAAGAATTTAAATGCAAACAAAGAGCCATGTAATTCCGCCATATCTTCAATGAAAACGTTTTTCATAGAAAATACTTACTTGGCTTTATTTTCCTTTTAAATACTTTGTCATGATAAGTAAATTCCCGATATGAATCTTACAAGTAAACATTGGTTGTTACACTGGTAGTTTCTGAGGTAACACAACAACGTACCGTGTTACAGCTTCACCAGGCAACAAGCAACCAAAGTTTGTGTCAAGCATCGCACCACAGAACCTGTCAAACATTGCTAGACTCACGCAAGCACGCGAGGCACGCGGTCGTATTTTCAAACACTTCAAAGTTAACCGTCAACTCTAGAATTATATTCAAACACTTCAAAGTTAACCGTCAACTCTAGAATTATATTCAAACACTTTAAAGTTAACCGTCAACTCTAGTATTATAGTTCGTAACAGTTTGGTTATTAGTAAGATGGATTCACGCAATTAGTTACTATTATTTTCCAGCATAATTAAAATAGATAACTGAAATTCACGATAGAAAGAGTTTGGTTACATTACCAGTTAGATTCATCGTATCATGATGATTTTTCAGTATCTGTCCTATAGAAATGTATTGAAAAAACACGTTTATGTGCAGAAAAATTACAAGCTTGTGTAATGAACGTTAATTAGAGAGAGCACGAAGATATGAAATTTCACCATCGTTTTACAAAGGTTTTCTCCCTAAAAAGATGAATCGTGAAATTAAATTTCCTATTTATCAGTATAATATTGCTCAGTTTCCCCTCGAGATCTGCTCGAGAACTGAGGGTGTTTAGGCTTTGTTATTGTGATTGCGGTGGCACAAGGTAGAGGGTGAAAATCAAGAGGTTGCAGAAAGTGCCTAAGGAATAGGAGGGAAAATGTAAAAGAACAGTAACAGGATCAATGGAAAAGATAGTAAGAGGGGAAATGCTAAGACAGTAAGAGGGAAATAAAATACTTAAAAAAAACTTTTTTTTAAAAACCACGTTTTTCTTGTGGACTAAAAAGTAGAAAATAAATTATGGCTCGCCCCAAAAAACGTGTGTCGGGCAGATTTATGATTAAATTAAGGTGTGGGGACGACTGATTATTGAGAGCTTTGAAGGTCCAAACAAAAAAACTTCCATGAATTAAATTAAGAATTTGTATAATCTGATGTGACAGATTTATGATTTCACTAACGAAACGATATTTTTATGTACGCCCGAGTGCAGAATTTGTGTTTCATTATTCATATAGAATTCATTAATAATATTAGTGATAATTATAGAAGTTAGTATTATATTATGAAATATTCGACTGAATTTTAGCAGAATTGGAAATTAAAGAACAATGAAAGCGTAGAAACTTTTATTGAAATAGTTCGCAGAACGAAGCCAGTGAGAAACGATATATAGGTACGCAGGATGTGGAATTCACTGTAGTGGAATGGGCAGATATCGATCAGTATTGCTTCGAAAATTAAGAGTTAAGGATCACAATATTTAAATTCAAAGGAATGAGTCATTGTTTCAGATAAAAGCGTCTTTCTCCAATTCTCACCATATTGCCGGTGGCAGCATGCAGATTGCAGTAATTAAGGAGCAGGTCAACTCAATTAAACAGAAGTAGCAGGGTTGAAGACAAATTTGAAAGTAGATACGGTTGGGTGGGTTCTTATCTGCATGAGACAGATAACAGTTTAAACCTTTTGATAACTAATTCGCGGTATAACGCAATGCAATTCAGTATGATGCTCAAATACATTACGAAAAACCACTTTTAAATATTCAAAATAACAAAGCTATTTGTTTCCGTTGAGGAACCCTAGACATGAGCTCTTGTTGAGAACTATAAGAAGGAAAAAAGTGAAAATAATACAATAAAGGCGTGTTTAATTGTTCGTACATAGAGGTGTCGTATAAGAGCATGCAAACATGTGAAGTTAGAAAATAAGTTAATTTAAGCTCTGAGGTTAGAAAATAAGTTAATTTAAGCACAGAAGCTCCACGGAGCTCCAGAAACCTAACCAGGTTCAAACACTGGCATGGATCTTGTATAATAAAGACCTAAACGAACGAACACATAAGCGCGAACATGCAATTTAATTGAAAAAAACAAAATGAAAAAACACATTCGCACATGCTCAAATTAAATTAAATAAAAGCAAGATTAGCCGAGGGTAGTAACACGGTTAACACGGTTTAAGCACGAGGTTAGCTCAGATGCAAGGTTAAGGTTATAATACTTGGTTAAGATACGACGCGTCACCGACGAAGGTGTTGGCCCCAAGGTGATAATAATTATATAATAATAAGCTGGCATTATAGAGTCTAACTCGCTTTGCCTGCCTCCAATTTGAAAGACGAGTAAAATTTTTGGCTACCTGTCCGGGTAATTCTGACTGGTGATCACAAAAAAAAAACAAAAAAAAATACGATCGAGCTAGTAAGAGTCGACTTCACCTCCTAACACGGGACTAACGAAAAGCGTTCAAAACAAACAATAATGACGTGATCAGATAATTAATTTCAACAATTCATTCGTAGCTACTTACGTTTGCGTACCATTGACTTTTTTGTCAAAGACACGCAAATTTCATCCAAGTTTTTGACGATTGCTTCATCAGTTTTATTGATAATGAAGAATTAAGTTGCTCTTGCTGATAGATTATAACCTTCCTTGATAATAAAGGGTTGCCTCAAGATAGAAATGTTTGCGGACTCGACTGATGTGATCACCAACATAATAATGACGTTGAATATTGATTAAATCTTTTATATAAGCAATAAAAAAACAAAGAGAAGGAAAATATTTTATTGTCGGCACCAGTCACACAAACCTGTTGTAGTGAACCCATACGGCATTAAGGCTATGAATACTTTCTTATATGCCTAATCGGCCAATTCTTAATTCACTTTCGGGAAAGATTCAAAAACTCAATAAATATATTCTTAATGAGAATGATCAGAATGTCACGTTAATACAAACCTCAGCAACATGTCTGAGTTGGAGTTGTTGGAAATGGGCTTAGTTAAATTACTCAATATCGATCTGACCATCTGACTTGCTGTGTCAAAACATGTCGGCTGAGTTTCAGAGGAGGTTCAGTTCGTCCGATATTATGCCAAGTGTACTAATGTGACAAGTTAAAACATAAAAGTTAGATATATATAAAGGTATAACTTCAACTGTTTATTTATTACCCTTCCCTAATTCCAATTTTCTACAAAATATGGCGGTATTGTGGCGAGGGAAAGCTTTGCTGCCGATGGCACGTTAATAAAATGGCTGCGGCCGTAATACATAAATATACAGAGACCATGTATAAATCATGGTCTCTGCTTTGTGTTCCCTTCACTCCGGTGGATTTCTATGAACAGTGATTAATATATTCAATATTGATTTATCTGGGCCACCTGTTTGGAAGAAAACATCCGTTGAGTTATAAAAAAGCTACAGTCTTAGAACCACCATTCCAATTAATATGACCATCCTGCACCTTAACATTTGTTGAAATTTGGATTTAATTTAGTTTATATAACCATTATGATCTAAAAAACAAGATTTAATTCAATAGTAATATATCAGTGACAAAACTAAGAGTCCGGTGACGTATGTGCTGTAGCGAATAGATGTATTGTAAAATAAACATTTTTCTGGAGCGAATGACTCCAGCCACAAAAAAGAACAACCTAAGATGTAGCTATAAATGTTATCCGGCTACATGAGAGAGTTTCCATTGAAACAAAGGCTAACGACCAACAGTTTTAGAAATGAACGCCAAGAGTTCTTTTGCCATATAACCTGATTCGAAATAGTAATTTTAAGTAAGATTACATGAACTATTTTTTTTTTCAAGCGTAAATAAATGATCCCATAACAAATGTACGTACGGAATTTTGTCATTCTTTGTCAAACAAACCATTCAGAGTAATATTATGAATTTATATTAGTTTTGGTTGCTCACAGCAACCAAAACTCACAGCTGCCATTTTCCGATGTCAGTATCCAAATTCGCAGGGCAGACAATATTTCAGTATTTGAATATAGTATACCGTAAAATTTGATTGGAAAATATTTTCTAAGTTACATTGTGGAATAGAAAACATCTATTTGATGGAGAGGCCTTTTTAAGTTGTGCAGGAGGCAACAAATTTAAGTTCAATGCCATTGTAGAGCTGTAAAAAATGAATGCCTAGATGACATGAGGATTCATTGATCAAATGCATTGGCAGTGGAAGAATCTTGCAAGCATTTTACTGATTCGCAGAGGGGTTGGAGTTGACATAGGATTGAGGCTCAATTTGAGCTTGAAATGCCTTTCACTTGAGTTTATTGCGGATGATTTTCACATGAAATTTACATATACACATATTTAAAGGTTATGAAATAAAGAAATATTATGTCGCTATTCAAATCCTGGTTTTATCTAGGGTAAAAATATCCACTTTTATTCATAAGAGAGAAAGACGATTTTTATCCGTTAAGAGAGAATTACATATGCAAGAATTTAAAAGTAAAAAAATGTTTGGAAAGAATAAAATGCAATAAAATTTTCAATTACTGGCTTAGAAAAATGTTTCCTCTTTATAAAATGGTTTGAGACATTAATTGTCATATTTAATCATAAGGTGTTCCAGAATAATAGACGCATCTTCCAGCGTACAGAGTAGCGACGGCCATCATAACATAACATAACATAACATAACATAACATAACATAACATAACATAACATAACATAACATAACATAACATAACATAACATAACATAGCATAACCTAACATAACATAACATAGTGATGTCGGCGCTGAAGAGTTGGCCGATGTGGCCTGTCGCCGATTCTTGTCATACTTTTCGTGATTTGTTCACAGGAGATCTAAAAACAGGTCCTTCTACCGAATCTTTTCCATACTGACGATATTTTGAAATACGAGCTACTAGACTTCCACCGGGTTTGATATGGTACTAGGCATTTCAAATCTGAACATATATTTTTCCATAGTCTGTTCAAAGTCATCTAGTCTGTTCTTGAACGCGTTTATACTCTGAGCGCCAACGATGTAATCGGGGAGGCTGTTCCACATGTCGGTGATTCGAAGCGAGAAGAAATTTTGTCGCGTGTATGAGTTGCAACGCTGTTTTTTTAGCTTATAGCCGTGGCCCCTGGTGTTGGTTATTGTTTCAGATTCTAATAATCCTTCTGGGGCCTTGCATAAACCATGAGTATACTTGTATACTTCAATGAAGTCCCCACGCGGACGTCGGAACCAGAGGCTTGGAAGCTTCATAATCTTTGTTTCTTTAACCTTTCATCAACCAGTTTCATCATCTTGTGAAGTTGTGAGTTAGGAGCAATTTTCAGTTACCAATTGTGCGTTGATCTATGAAAAATGTATAAAAGAAAACCATATTTATATGTTCAACAAATGTATTGTGGGATACGTAGAGAAAAAAAAAGGTTTAATATATTCCTTAGTGATATATGTCCTAGATTACAGACGTGCTGTCGTGGCCTGGAAATTTAGTTAGCGCTTTTCGTTTTTAAGTTATCAAATAGTCTACACACGAGTCATTCATTAACTCTGCGGATTCCTGAAGATTCTTCTCCATTCAGTACAACACATTTAACAAGTTGTAAAGGCGAGCAGGAAGATTTTGCCGCTTGATTTCTCATATTAGGTTTCGATGCGATGACACTTGACTGGTTAATAATAATTATAGTTAATAATTGTTGAGGACAGTTCTAGCCACGACTAATCCACATAGTTGAACTATATAAAAGCCAATATCCTGACTAATTTAACTCCGAAAACACATGCCTTTTATTCGTATGACACACAAAATGTTTTCGATACTAAATTGCAACGTATCACATGTCATGAGATGATTAATTTGACGAGACGGAACTCGGGTGAACACGAAACAAATAAGTTTATACCAAATTTTGTTCACATATTAGTAATTGGTCCGTCAATACAGAAGTCGGTCCGTGACTATAGAAATCGGTCCGTCAATCTAGAAACTGGTCCGTCAATATAGAAATAGGTCCTTCGATATAGAAATTGGTCCGTCCGCATTAAATTGACAATTGAAACTATTTTTAATTCCATTAAAGATGGGTGGGGTTTGATGGATGAATCTATAATATCGTCTACATTTTAGCGATGTTTTCATATAGCAGGCAAATGTGACTAAATTAACATTTTTAATTCGATATGCCATTCAGACCCAGTTAGCCCTTTTGTTAATTATTTGTCGGGCGCGACTCAATTGAGAAGCTATTGATCGCAAGTCCTTAAATGTTTTGGCTAAATTTTTCGCAATGGATATAAGTATAAATTGATGCAATGTGAGCTAGAAATAGCCCCACCTGAAGGTTTCACTATGAATATAAGTGGAGTTTGAACAGTCATATAAATTTGAAGGTTATACTGGCAGTTTATATGCAGACATGGGTTGATGTTGAAGATATATTCAATTTGGCAGAACCTACGAGTTCGTATAAAAAATCGTTTATTGTATATGAATGAGAAATCTGGGACCCATTTGAAATAATTCATTGAAGTTCACTTGTAAACAAAAGTTTCATTTTCGTTATTCGCTAGAAGTGATGCTGCACATATATAACAAAAATTATGATAATGATTCTTCATGGTTTGCTTCACCAAGCAAGCACTAAAAGCATAGAGAATGATGTTGCAGACATACTTTATGTCTGCAATAACAAATGTAAAGAAAAAATCTTTGAAAACCATGTAAAAATTATACACGGGACGTGAATAAACAAACATCGAATACTTTGGTATAAAGATCTGCAGAATCTCGACACTATAGTAATCCAACTGGAAAATGTGTAGCAACAGTCTGGTTAAGGTTGAAGAATTATCAATTTAAAACATATTTTTAATTTTAATCACTTGCCTACTGACATGTTCAATACGCGCCGATACTACCGAGAACATTAACTCCATCTCACTTAGTAGTAGAGCTGAAAGAAACACATCTCAAGGGCTCTGAGGCATTGATGCAACCTTTAGTTTACTTTAAATGACATTCTATGTAAAGACTGTTACAATGACAGAATAAAATACAAGAAATTGAAATCAATAAGATAATTACTTACATACATATTTCTAACACGAATATATGAAATGCTAATTCGTTTTGTCTCGAAGCTTCTTAATTGTACAAAAGAGAAATTAAGTCTGTTTTAGCTTTTCGACTTATTTGATGTGGAGTAATTTACTTGTATAGGCGCTCTGTACTAATTACTTATGAGTTCTAATTTTCTATTACACGCTTTTTCCTGTAGCAAATCATAAACGAACCTTCCACCGTTATCTATATTTACATAACAACATAATTACTATATATATAGTTACTTACCAGATAACTAGATAGTTATCTATACTATAGTCTAAAGTGAATCGGGGTAAGTGTCTTCAATTTCGCTAGAAAATTGCTTAAAGATCCTGAGTGCTTTGTGTCAGTTTCTGCAGAGCATCATTGATTATTTACCGTCAATGCCACTGACTTCGCCACAGCACTAACGTCGCCGGCTTTCGAAAGAAACGATATATTTTGTTAACAAAGAAGAGCCACAACTATCTAGCGCTATCGAAAAATCTTCCCAGTTATAAGGTGGCAACCGAACACAACAAATCGTAATTCTGATCAATATCATAAGGCTTTTATTGAATTGCAACGAGTTAGGTGCAGTTGCTGGGGCCATACTTTCAAAACTCGCTAAGTGAACGTAAGTACTTACGCTCTATTTGCTTGTCTGTGATTGGTGGATTTTGCTTACAAGACCGTCAATGATTGGCTGATGAACTTACGATCTCTTAACTTTTTTTTAAAGTATAGGCCCAGTGCCTATACTTTCAATAGGCCTATACCTCACCTATACTGCAGGTGAGTGGTGACTTATGTGGCATTGACGGTAAGAGTGACGGTATCGTTAGTAGGAACGATGCTGGCGTTAGTAGGAACGATGCTGGCGTTAGTAGGAACGATGCTGGCGTTAGTAGGAACGATGCTGGCGTTAGTAGGAACGATGCTGGCGTTAGCAGGAAGCGTTGTGGGCCCAGCGGGAGTTTCAGCGTCACGGAACTGGATTATCACCACCACGTACGAAAACATGAACGCCAGTGCCTGTATTACCAGAAACTCTATATGAACGTCAAGTTCATTAAAATAAACTTATCAACCGAACAAGCACTCAATCACAATATAAATTATTAAAAAATAAAGCTTCCAATAAAAGATATAATAAATATAAAATCATTATAAAATCATTTATGTATTTCTTAATGGTCGTGGTAACATTGATGAATATACTGGCAATTTAGCAATAAGCCGTCGACAAAAATGTTCAATCAAATATATAGAAAATACTGCCATCATACTGGAGCCCAGCGAATTTTCATTTGTTAATGATATTGCTACTAAATGCAGGTGATCAAAATCCGGCAGGTGATTGCTATTCTCATCACAAAACGGCTATATATCACTAAAAATAGAAATTTGAACGTGTTCAAATATATTTATTTCATTTCTGAGACATGTTATAGTTTTAAACAATAAACTCAGTGATCGCATTGATACTCAGTAATTACAAAATCTCCTAGTGACTCCACATTGATGCTTAGCCATGCTTCGGCAAATTTTCCTGAAACCATAATCAATTATATTTAAGTATTTGATTTCAGACGAATCATAATTGGAAATTTGTGTTCGAGACAAACTGGATAACAGGTTTGGTTTGTTGAATTCTTTCTAATAGGATACATCTTTTATGTATCCAGTTCGCCTGGGGTATGCGTAAAATGCACAATGCACCCATAGTATCTTAAGTTATACTTAGATGCTGGCCTATAGGAGAAGGAAATATTTGGAACATGTGTTTTAATTCTGAAGCTTCATTTGAACATGTACAACTATGTCGGGTACTGCGTTCGGAATAAATGATTGCATCTACTAGTCATAATTTAGGTTCAATCTTAATTATAGGTTACCACTTTTACTATTTTTTGCTGAACAGAAACCGATTTTAACAAGAGTGAACAACGAAAATCGTGTATTCAAAGTCCTTCATTACGAATATAAGTAACAGGATAAATCAAGCAAATTAGTCTGGTCCTGGGTTTAATGGGGTAATATAACTGGATCAATTTTAGTGCTGATCATAAACTAGGAAAATAAGACAAGCCGGCAAGGTTCATGACGCTAGTAAACAAGTTAATTCAAGTCGAATGAACACATTATCCCTAACTGCACTAGCACGCGAATTTCACTATACCGCCTCCCGCGCTTCCCTGCGTTGATGGTTCGATAGTGCTGAAGATTTCAAGAGGTGAGTTACGGTTGCCACCATGGGCTGTACTGACACAAACCTTAACTTAAGCTACCCCATTGTCTAATTTAATATGAATGCATTAAATCGATCCGATTGCTTAATCGATCGCATGTGTTTTGAACGCGGATATTTAGAATGGAAAGTAATACTAATAAAACAAACCCAGGAGGGGCAAAATTTATGGAACCGAAATAAGTATGATGATAAATGGATGTATAAACTTATCAGCAGACGCAAAACAAAGAAATGCCAACATTATTTTCATAAGGTATTGCATGGTTCAAAGAAGCAAAAAAGAAGTTCTAACAATATTTTAATAAGGTATTGTATGGTTCAAACTCACGTTTAGAAAAGAGCCCCGACCGATGGTGCCGAAGTTGCATAACGTCAGTGTGCGGCTCCTTTGCAGAGAGAGGATGATGCCTGTGCTGGGCTGTAGAAATAATTCATTAGTTCTTTCTTGCTATTCAATGCGTCAGGTAAATTGCATTGCTATTTGATACTTCTGCCAAAGTTTGCAAACAAATTAGTTCTAACAGTAGTAATTATATTGTACATGTTCGGTAAGCTACAGTAAGCTAATATACCGTGATGTGATGCAAGTTGAAATGATGTGACATATTCTGAAAAAAATGAGTAAATCTAGCAGGTTCAATGTTTACGCCTAAACAGCTTCAAAATAAATCTGGTGAAATATAATAAACCAGACTGAAATTATTTACCTTCATTTGCTGATCGTCGGGCAAGCCGTAAATGAACATCCGCAGATTCAATATGAACGCTTCTTCCTGGAAAGTGATGTTAACTTCAAGATTGAGTTTTTCAAGTAATATGCCAAAAGCGTATGAGTTTTGAAGCGAAAGAGTTTCAAAGGATAAATCCGAAAATGTTCGATGATAATTATACATACTTCATCATATGATGTAGCAAATGTTCTGTTATTAGACGTAACACTCTAGTCTAGATCCCTTTTACTAGCTATGAACTTACTGCTTCCGACAATTCGTCCGCTGGGTTATGCATTAAAAACAGGTAGCAAAGCGCCTCAGATATCACGCATATGTATCCAAGTGTGTCGAAGACACCATAATTATGCGACGAGGGTGTCATCAGCAAGTAGATGCCGAAGAGGAGGTCAGTAAGAAACCATATAGACAGAAAAATGAGAATCCATGAATATACGTCACTGATATGCTCGATGGCTCGGTCTATGAGCAGCATCTGGAGTTCGACTTCCTTTAGAAAATTTGAAGTTGACGGCTGCGGCCTGGCATTGTTTCCATGAGCGGTCGATGTGACAGAAATTGTATTTAAATGATGTATTGCTGTCATATCGTATTTTCTGAGTGAAGTTCCATGGTCTGCAAGTTGAACGGATGTTGCATGGAATCTGTTCTTAAGAATGCCAATGTAGAAATTGAAAGTAAGAATAAAAGTTAGCGCCAGCGCATACATCACTAAGTAAGCCAACGCCTCAATGAATAGTAGGATGTTAAAGCTGTTTTCGCTTGGATCAGAAAAGCAAACAGAAATGTTAAGACATGTGTTAGTCGTTTGAGCTGCTGCCAAACCTATCATTAGGCAGGTATTCCAATTAAAGTTATATGGACGGTGGGCGAGTGAAGGTTCGCAATGATAGATGGGCGAGATTGCTTCAAAAATTTCCGTAAGGATCCGTTGGCAAGAAATATATTTAAGGATGGAAAATGCTATCATTACTGGGCAAGCAACGTTCCAAGCAATGATGAATATACCAGTCATGGATGCATCAGAATAGTCACGAGTAGCGATGATGTAGAAGGAACAGGCGAGGTAGAGAGAGTTCATCGCGAGATACCAGGCTAGCTTGGTCACATTTTTGAAGCATAAGTCTCGTTGATTTTGAACTACCCACCGACCTCTTCCTCGACTCATCTGTTCCATTCCTCTGGAGTCGGGGCTCAGCACAACACGCCCCCGTTCTTCAGGCTCTGCAATCACTTTTTGCCGCTCCAAATATAATCCCAAGAACTTGAGAGCCTCAAACCAACGTTGCCATGAACTCTTTGTCATGGTGATGAGTTTATTTTAAGACAATTGTCGGTGTAATGATCTTTCCTGCAGAGGTTCAATAAAGATCTCCCAATTAACACAATTACTTTAATTTTAATGAAAAGTGAACACTTAAATTACTAACATTGAACAAAGTTAACTTGAACATATGAGCATATAGTTACAGGGCACCGAACTGTTTCTACTTTCATATGGTAGGGCACAGCACAGTAGATGTTGTTCCTCACAACACAGTAGTAGATTTCAATATGCACAAACACTGAATCTTCTAGAAATACCAGCCTCTTGTGATCTTCTATCCGGGTTGACTTCTCCCTACATGAACAAATCAAATTTACAATCAGTCGGATAATTTCCCTACTAGATATCTCTAATAGTATCAACAATTAGATAATAAATACAATATATGACAAATATCGACAGTATAATGTCTCCACAACTCTAAAATCACACATACCTCTGCAGTAGTCTGAATTCACAAACTAGTCCTTGCTTTTGTCCAACAATAAGTCTGCTCTGAAGTCTTACGCTGCTATAGGATGGTCAACTCTTTAACTTATCCTATCGTTTCACACATTGGTTACTATTGTTCTTAGTCTTCCTCTGTTTCTCGAAGTACTCCTGAATATTATGCTAAGATCCCTACAGTCGGGAATTGCTTCAAGAATTTGTGTTCATGTATTTTTTGGACATAGTTCAGAAGTTTAGCAAACTCTATGGTTTCCTTAAATCCGAAAAGAGTCATAAAATCGTATTCGTCCTACTGTGTTCAATGGTTTCCAGTGACACATTTTCTAGTACTAATTTACTCAATATTACTTATTCCGTACTCAATAACTGGGCTTAAATACATGAATGACATCGTAAAGTTTCATAACAAGAATCCCATTAGTTGAAGGATTACCTGCATCTCCTACGTCATGACGCTGACTGAGAAGGAAGAAGCGTACTAACGTCACTAATTCGAATATATTCTATAATGCTTGACTATTCTATTGAAGACTAACAACACTATAAATGCATCCACTGAACATCTAAACGCATATGAAATCTAAATGCAAATGCGTGTCGTTAATTTCCCTGCATGAACCGTAACATCAATGCTGCATCAAAGCACAAAGCCTCCAGGTGTGGACATTGTAATATCTTGATAGAGATTTATTCATAAGCTTGGGTTATGAGCTGTAACTCATTATTCACTTAGGAGTACAGAAATTATTAAAATACGCACGCATATACGGTGCAAGACATGAAGCTTCCTATAGTGCAATATGTAAGCCAATAAATTTTGCATGGGATTGAGGGTAATATGTATCAATTAAGAACAGTGATGAAAACACTGGTTAAAAACTGGATAAAACTGCATATAACATACAATTATAAAAAATCTACATCATATTCAAATTTAAATTAATACTATTAAAGAAAAAGTATCGAAATTTTGTCATCATCTTGAAAGGTTTTACACATTAAAAGTCTGTACCTCTTTTTTCGCTTTCAAGACGAATTGGAAGCAAATTATTTAGTGTTCGCCCGTAGTACTGTAATGATGATAATAGTGTAATAATAATATAACATAGCAGTTTCAGCGTTTATTAAGCCGTAGGCCTGTCACCGATTCTTAACATCGCAGAGCATTCACAGCTTGTTGCGTGCTTGAACTCGCAACTCATATTTCTTCAAATTTGCTCTGCCCGCCCGACCTCCTCGCCGATTCCGACCAGAAACTGGCGCACAGAGCTGGGATCGAACCCGCTCCTCTCTGCTCCAATCTTGATACTCTGAACTGTTACCACTAACACTATAGCTCAAATAATAAATAAATAACACTTGATAAAGAACGATTTGAAAATTTATTTGAAATTATGTAAATTTATTGCGAATTTATTTGCGAGCTGAAATTTCTTCAGTATCATCGAGTGTTTAGATTTAAAATTCGTTAGTCCGTGTCAAGGAAGTATTATAGCGGTGTTATCAAATAACAAATATCGACCGTAACGATTCGTTATTTAAATTAACGTGACAACATGACTCCCTCCCTTAAATCTGCCAACTGCATGTTAAATGAGTCCTTAATGACAGAACTCAGGAGCCCCTTGCCGAACTTACGAGTTCAACTTTAACTCAATAATAAGGCAATTATAACCACCATCTTAGACCATCCATCGGGATTTTGTTGAAGCAGGTTGTTGAGGTCTCTCGATGGCAAATAGGTTTGACCCTTAATGTTCGATGCGAGGTTATGTATGCTAGTCTCGTACGTCACGTTCAGTTGGATTGTAAAACGTTTGCAGAAGCACCACAACCTCGAATTTCTTACCTTCTTGTATCGTCACAAAGCAACCTAGTTTTTCCAATGAATAGGTAAGAACCTTGTTTAAATGTTGTCTCTTTGTACCCATGACCACTTATGTACCAGATAAATTGAAACGGCAGTTGATATACCACGATTGAAATTGATACCTTGTTCTATTTTGACATGTTGCAGAAACCGCTTTAGAGCTAAATAAAGTTCCTGTGTCGGATCATCTTTTATTCTCGTCCAAAGAAGCCCGAAGTTTCTTTGAACAGGTTTTTATTTGCAAGTATGTTTGTGAAGCTTAATTCGTACATGAGCCAGAATATAATTGAGGTTTGGAATCATTCCAATGTAAATTCATCGTACATTTTAGCTGAAAAATTTGTATTTAAACACAGTCCGAAAGTTATTTGAGACATGAAACTTAATTCGTTGGAAATTTGGTTAATACATTTATTTATACATACGTAGAGTTCTTCCAGAAAGAATTCTTCTCGATCTGAATTGATGTAATAAAATAAGTTTTTTTAAATAGCTGTTGATGCAAATAACTACAATTTATTATAATGATTGTCATTGTTCTGAATAATTAATTCATGAATAAAAGTATTTATTATAATATTATTCATAATAAATATTATACAAGTTCAAGCATGCACGTTATGCGGTAATTGCAACTTCCCGAGTGTTTTTTGATAGGAATCATAATTACGCTTTGTTATTGCAGGTACAGAAACGATCCACAGGCCTGGATTCTGATCCGATTTTATTTTTTCCTTGACTGCAAGTTCCTTTGATAATTCTACTTCAGAATCGTTGATTGTCATGTAAATGATTATTACTGTTCAATATCGTCAGTTACTGTTCAATCGTCAGTTATGGAAAGATCGGGTTCCAAAGGCCGGATCCCTTGTGAATCAAGTCACGAAAAATTCAAGAATCGGCAACAGGCCATGGGCCTATTTCTTCAACGGCGACACTTCTATTCTATTCTATTCTAACATATTCATATTGGTTTTCATTTACAATGGGTGCATTTTTAAAGTAGAGTAAATTTCGTGGATAGTTTAGAAAGGATCACGACTTTGTCTGAGCGATAGTTCGGATAAATTTTATTGTGATATTAGTCAATAAAGAGCAAAACACGCATCCATATATTTATCTTATCACGCCAAATTTAATTATCTTTACGGGTAACTCCAGGTTAACCTGCTATATTGCTTCCCAATTAATACATAAAATTCGTTGCATTCTTCCCAGGAACTTACCAAAGAATCATGTGCATGAAAACACAAATATTTTTGTGTTTATAGTTTTCTCCCTCGTCAGCATTTCCTAGTCAGGCAAAATATAATTTTTCGCAATATAAATCGCTTATTCAGCACCACCGTTCATTCGGCGTTATATTAAAATAAACTGAAGTAACTACATGAATTTTTTAAAATATGAAATAGAGAGTCTGGCTATGAAATGGGGTGTAATATGACATCGTCCTTTATAAATAATATCAACTTTCACAGAACAAACTAAAACTGCTATACATTGTAGGAACAAAGTTATAGGAAATATAACTTCGATGTTGCTAATTTAAAAGTGCAAAAATGTATAGTGAATAAACAAAATCCATTAATGATCGTCGTCTGCTATTGGTTGAATGCCAATGGAAAGAAGATCTATCATATTCACGATGAATCGCTTTCGAAAAAGAACTGTTTAGGAAGTCGATACAAATGGAACAATGTTATACCAATTAAAAAATTAGCCACTGAGTTGAGAGCTGGCATTTGTCAATAAGCGAGGTGATATTTAATATTAAGATGAATTTCTAGACAGCTTTCTTTGAAACCGAACCCATCGAAATTTAAGTCTGCTAGTCTTGCAGCAGGTCTTACGGCTGACTTCATGTGAGCCCAATATCATATAAATTTATAAAACACATTTGGTAACAGATTTCAACTCATTAAACGGTAATGCGTTGAATCAAATTAATGATCCGATCTAGCGATCAAACAAGTTTGAACTATAAATTCCCAAACTAGCTCTAATGTTTTGACTAACTTGTTTATTTTTAAATTTAGCAAAACTAGCAGGACGATTATTGAGTTTGGTGCTGACGGTAATTAATTCACATTTAGGACAATACTTTTATTGATCGATCTTTGGAAAGCTGTTCAAATACACACAGAACTGATAAGCCATTAAAGACATTCGTATCAGTATAATGTCAAGCGTACGCAAGGAAAATTTCAGTAGATATTGCAGAACAGAATTTAAGATATTACAGCGCATATTTACATTACTCACACTAAAGAAAGAACGATTGACAATCTCATATACAACAATCTTTCATCGGCAAAGCATACATAACTTAATGCCAACATAGCCTGAGCTGCATCGCTTCTCCAAGAAACATCGTGCTGAGTTTGGATGAAGAATGAAAGGAATTATTCACATCTAATATGCAGGTAACAGGCATTGAGATCAGATTGCTGCAATTTCAAATACTTGAAAATTTGACTGAAAGAAATATAAAACTTTTTAAACAACTTTTTGAACTTTTTGCTATTAATCGATCGTAAAATTAAGGAAATCACAAAAAAAAGTTTGTGGAGGTAAATCTTTTTCGAGTACGTACAAGCCTAGGCAATCCAAAGCAAGACGTGCAATAATAAAATATCGTTCAAATGTCTGATAACGCACGCATGTCGGAGAACGCATTAATTAGGAGTACGTTCAAATGTAGAGGGATATTAATAAGTAAAATAACGTAAACATGAATTTGAACCAACTACTCTTTTGGAAACTTGAATGAGGCAGTCCCTTGTGGTACAGTTCAACGGCATGTGTAAGAAGTGATGGTATGGGTTAAAAATCATTGGAGAACTACGTATTGACCGTTAACTACAGTATGTGGGGTATAGCAGTTTGTGAGCTGAAGCAGTGTTGGTTTAAAGTTTGTGTGGTGAGATGGGTTAATTGAGTACAGCTGCATAGATGCCAGTATGACAATATCTATTTCATTTAGAAGGTTTATGTTGGCTCCAGGGCTGATATGAGAGTTAATTTGCTGGCCTATAACGGCTGCGCGCCCTTAGGTGATAATAATTACGACCGAGCTAATAAGCGACGATTCCGCCTCCTAACACGAGACTAACGAAAAGCGTTCAAAACAAACAATAACGAAGTGATCAGACAATCAATTTTAACAATTCATTTGTAGC